TACATACATAGATGAATATATCTGCAAAAATATTTCAGCTGTATGACATTTCAAATATTATTCTTAATTATATTTCTCTTTTTTTCCAACATCTGGTTTTTATGTCTACATAAAATAAAGCTCCACAGTTTGTCATATTTCATTTAAACATATTGCAATAGACGTTGCTATTCGATAAAAACAAATGAGTCTACAATCTCATATAATTCATATATATTTTCCATAATCTTTGTGAACCTAATAACAAATTTTTAACTATAAATTGCGAAATTTTGCATGAGGCAAATTACAACTTGTCGTGACTAAGTCGACAAATGATGCGCATTAAATAAAATGTTTATTTAAAAATGCCAGCGTAGCCGCACATACACATGCACAAATAGATACAACAAACGAAATTTGCTTATAATTCCATTGTGTTCAATTTGTTTTTTTTTTTTTTTTTACCAGACAGAAGTTCTTATAGTGCTGTCTATACTGGAAGCTCATCAGTAGAACTGTTATGAGTTCCATTCTTGTGAACAGCAGCAGCAGCAAGAGCAACAACAGGTTGCCTGGAAAGGGGCTTCCAAGAGTGGCCGATGGGCAAGCAGACAGCACCGGTTCCCGCATGCATTACACTCACACATATACACACATTTAAATACAATGAAATGGAAACTGGTCGGCATTAAGAACCGGTTTTGACTCTCAAAACAAAAACAAAACAGAGAAAACTGAATTTATACAATTATTTATGCATATATGTATGTATGTGTATACACATGTGAATTAAATATTTTCCAGCTGCTGCATTTTCCATCATCAGTTCATTCAACCCATTTTATAGGGCGCGCCACTTGTTGCTGCATTTGAAATGGGCGCGAGGCTGCTTCTTTTTGATTTTTCTTTTATTTAAGACTGTCGACCCTGACCCAGTACATTACTTTTTTTGAAATCGCGAATTTCAATGCTTGCATTTTAATTTGATAGTGTGTAAGATTTGCTGTGATTATGTAACACTTACCTTAGCGGCGCTACACACAGAAACAGCCAGGCAGGCCAATAATATAATCTTGTGAGTCATGCTTCTTGATTTCTTTTTATTTTCGTTTTCCTACGGTTAACGATTTATGTTATGCTGACACGAACACAATTAAAGCGCTAGTTGTTGTGAACGTGCTGACGTCTAAGCGTGAACTGTTTCATTGCTTCGCCTCTTGGTTTGGACAGCAACAGCAGCGGCTCTACTGCTTTCCAGTCTGAGCGCGAGAGCGAACGCTCACATGCATACGTAATTAGAGTTGGGCTTGGTCCTATAGAAGTATATGTGTGTATATGCATACGCATGCATATGTGTGCATGCATATTACAGTTTACAGATCGAACGCAGCTAATGCATAGGCCAAAGCTTAGTAGAAGTGCACTAAAAAGCACCGTAACTCAATTAGAGGGGAGCTTTGTGTCTCTCTTGTTAAGGGTACAGCAGCATTGGCGCTCTCTGTGGAAAATGCTAATTAGCATAACGCAGCTAATTGGATCGTGTTGGGCTCAATTCGAATGGGAATTGAATTCATGTACTGCGTTCATGCTGCACGCAGATCTCAGGGGATAAAAGTTTGATTTACACACAAAATTTCTCTTTATATTAAATGGAATTACAGATTACAATAAATGTTTTCAGCTATAAATGTATGTACATGCAGATGTCAGTTTAATTAAAAACATTCTCTGTGGCATCAATCGCGAAACTTGAATCCCTTTGCAATCAAATCTTTACGCGCCTCCAATATCTCCAGCTGCAATTCCTTTGCAGCTGAGGGACAGTCGTTAAATGTGAAAGTGCGATACAGCACAATCCATGCGGAATATATCTAAAGGTAAATAAAAAGGGGTTAACCTGAAGTATGCCTGGAATTCTCCAAGAAACTTACACCAAAAAGAACTAGCAGCACCAGCGGTAGCAGTTGAATGTGTAGCAAATATTTGGTTGTAAATGATGTTTGCACTGTTCCCAATACAATGCTCAGGTAAGGCACTGCGAAGAGCGTTGCATAGAATAGCCAACGCTGTAGATTTGTCATGTTTAACGCTAATTATTAATACAAATATAGAAATTCCAAATAATCAACACTCCTCTAATGCAACACGTAAACAAGCGGCCGGCCTAGTGATGAACGATAAATCGATAGCAGTGAAATCGGTATTCACTTGGCCACAAACAGCTGACTGCGTGCCGTGACAAGCAGCTAATGCGAGCAAGCGAAAATGTAGTTGAAATTTAAAATGTAATTTCTAATCAATGAGTAAATTTATTAAGTTTAAAACTAATACATATTATTAAAGGTAATTAAGACTGCGCAGCGCCCACTGTGCATGGTTTATTTGCCAGCAAATCAGCTGTACGACAGCCAACAATTTGAAACTTAATCTCGTTTTCTTTCAAGGTGCCGCCCACAAAGAGATTCGGTTCACTACTCAGCGCCCATAGTTCATTCTCTCCCCTTGAGTTCAGATTGATTTTCAGGCCAGTTACAAATTTAAGCTGCTGCGGATTGTAGGCCACCGCGCGTATATCGTCTGCAGTGTAATTGGAATGCTCGTTCCAACTGATCAGAGCACCCAGACTGATGAGGCTGCAGTAGAGATTACCGCCATTGTCCATGACCTCCGATTCGCACTGGGTGCCACGCGTGCCCAGGATGCGAAAATGTTTGCTGATCGCCTTGCTCGAAGTCTGCTGCTGCCAGATGCTCTCGTTGTTGACCACGTGCAAGGGAAGGGCTATCTCATAGAAGCTATTCAGCGTGTGGAAGTACAAAAAGCGCTCTGAAATCGAAAGGAAGGATATTGTAGAGATACGTTTTCAAGATGATGTGAATGAGACAACCTGCTGCCTGACGCGGACTCAAGCTCACTGTGAAAATGCCAGCATGGGCGTTGCCAAAGCGACGCACTCCCAAGGACGGCTGCATGGACTCGTGCTCGATGCGCCAGGATTTGTCGGTGAGCGCATCAAAGACAATCAGGCCATAGCCCCAGGCATCCGCTATGTAAGCCCTGCCACCCAAGCATTTGCTCTCATCCAGATCCACGACCATCGCTGTAAAAATCGATACACTGGGCGTGTACATGTGCGGGGCCAGCATGGTACGCTGCACGAGGACATCTTTGACCAGATCGAATATCAAGACTTGTGGAGCACACAACTGCAAGGAGTTCACTTGACCCGAATCCACAACCCAAAGACGCCAGCACTCATCAATCTGTAGACGGAATAGGAATTAAAATACGTCTAAGCTTAGCTTGGAGCCTGAACTCACAAAAGTCCTGATGGCCGAAGTGATGCCCGAACAGTTGTTAGCTGACTGATGCCATTCCAGGCTGGGATAGGGCTCCAGGCGGGGATTCTCAACCACTTTATTATCAGCCGCTGCTACGGTGGCCAGCGTAAATGGCGTGCCCGTGCTCAGGCGTGGTATGGTCAGAAATGTGCGATGACGCCCCTCGTCGCCGTACTCAATGTCCAGATCGACGGGCAGGAAATGGCTATTGCTGGCCTCATCCGGTCCCAGGCTCAGATTGCTCCACCTGTGCAGCGTGTGCAGCTGCTTAATGCGCAACTGTTGGGCACTCGCATTGGCCAGGACTAGGACTAGGCCCACAGCCAACAGGACAATGCTGACACGAAACATTTGAAGAGCTCGAAAAGCAAAATGAAAATCTCGTCTTAGCTACTCAGGCGATGCTGCAACACTGAGCTGCAGCCGCAGGTAGGGCCCATGTTGGCCTGGCTAGTGTTAACAAACCCTAAAAGGGGCAAAACAGTCGAGAGCCCTATCACAGGTACACACGCACTCACACACATACACGTCGAGTTTATTGCCGTTAAATACTTGTGAGATTTATGGACACCTTTTCTCTTTCTATTTACATAGACGCATAGAACACGCACACTTCATGCCACCTGCATCCAGCCTCCTTGGCTCACAGCATGTTAATTGATTTGCCTCTCGCTCACTCCCGCACTCCCGCGCTCGCTCGCCCGGCCGCCCGCTGTCTGCCGGAAAATGCTGTCAACCCGCAATTTGAGTGTAGGCTTAACCACTTCTGAGCCAACACTCCAAAGCCATCAAAGCCAAACCGGCTGCAGTTGGTCGATCTTCGGGTATTTGGGATCGTCAGTGAACTTGCTTTTTCCACGCGCCGGAGTCTCGTGTGCCGTCACATGTTTTTTTTCTGTATCAGCGTGTTTAATTCCATGTCTTCATGCCACTTACATTCCATTTTGCAAGGAGTACTCAAATTTGTATACACCCTGTAAACAGTGAAAGTCACTGATGTATATAATATATTGTAGCAAGAGATAGAGAGATAGAGGCAAGCTTTTGTAGCTACAGCTTGAGCTTTTAGTAAACAAAATTTTGTCTTTCCGAGGGTAGTTTAACAGTTTGGAAAAATAGAAAATATTTATATAAATATATT